TCACGTTTGGCCATCGCCTTGTTTGGCCCGCAGGATTATAGGAAAGCGACACTCCCTAAGATCATTTCACTCCGTCAATTCCCCTACTGTATTCAATTCCCGGAGGAAAGTAAATTGGGTTAGTGGTGGCTAACATGTTGATTGCGGGGGATTCGTTTATCTAAAGATGGTGAACGTGTAACGATGATAATCATATTTGCAACAGGATCCTCGTAAGAATAGATCTCTAATGAAATAAATATTATATCGAGTTTACATTTAAATTATTCAGGGGAAAATGGGTCTAGTCGTTTGAAAAACAATGTACATAAATTCGTGTATAATTACGACTGCAATCGATTCAGTTTGCAGGAACAATACCCTCGCCTTACGGGAATTTGGCGTTTGATAACCGAGAGCGATAAATGACGCAAGCAGGATCGGATATCATCCGCTAATGAAACTTTACACTTTTGTATTTTTCATTGCATTTTAACGAGACTATTACCATTAGATTGGCGAAGTATCCACGTTGAAAATGGATCCAACAACGATCTCGTTCGAATGGATTTTAATTACGCGTAATAGAAAATATTTTTCAATTTCACAAAACGTGCCCCTGCGAACGAGTCCGTATCCAGACTCATTTTCATCGAGGGATAATACCCTCATAAAGACATAATGAAAAGTTTAAAAATTTAAATTTTCATTAGCGGATAAAATTCAAGTGCTTTCCGTTTTTAACGCATTTATCGCGGAACGGAACGCAGGCACAGTCTGTGACAAAAGAGTAGCACACACTGTTAATTTTATATTATTTGCAAGTAGAACATAAAAATTTAGTATACGAAACCATAATCCCCCCAAAGTTTTCTTTTCTAAATTTTAAAGTCGCAGAAACAAATTTAAAAGTAATAGTATTTCACGATTGAAATGGCCAACAAGTTCCTCTGACATAAACATTATAGAAAATCCAATATGGTGATCTTGTCAGAGCTGTTTACGGTAAAAGACATTTCGACAGTATAAACGAATCGGAAGGATATATTTTATTAGTACAGAAAAAGAATAAATAAAATTCACAGCAAATATTTAAAATTATATTTGTACAATGTACAAGATGAAAATTGGCAAATATGTACCGTATCGTAGTTAATTTTATCTCAACCACGCGTTCGTTGAAACCTTCGTGATATTCTAAGAGCCCCGTTACCTTTCTACCACTTTTAACGAAATTCACAGAGCGCACTAAAAGGTCTACGTTCTTTATTTTCTTCGTACCGCCATATGTGAATGTCTAGTACGGAGTGTAATTGACCCGTGCCGTAAAATATAAAAGTCCACCGAAAAAAAGTCACAGCAGTGAATGTGTTGAAACACAGAATGGGAGGGAACGAAAGGACAGTTGCGCGACACAGTAACTAGACGCGAGTGAGATGTACCACTTAATAGCTCTGTCCGACTAAAATATTTGATACTAACGACAACAATGAAAGCGAGATTGCGTTTGAATCGCGTGTACGAAATCTATGAGACGTCAGAATTAAAATTCATTGCTCGACAAATTAAATTTAATAAAAAATTCTGAGTACAATACGCTTTTAAAAAGAGTCTTTCCGAATCTACGAAAAACGTGGTCGTATTTTCTATCGTCGCTCTGGCATATAGTGCACGCGGCTAATTTATTTCTTCTCATATTTCTTCTAAATGCAACACGAAGATCCCTGCTGGGTGTTCGTCCCCTCTGACACATCGCCGCGAGTTGTAATTCGCACTTTCGCCGACAAATCGGCGATCTTTTCTACTGCGGGCGAGCATAAAGATTGCGTGGAAAATTGAAGCAGCAGTTTTACATTCGATGCGAAATTATACCCATCGGTTTCAACGAACGGTCCGTGCCAGACCAGCTCGCCACTGCTGTAAGTACATCTGTGTTCTACGTAGGACGCCAACGGATAAAAATTACTCTATTCTAACCTCCGTAACGGTTATCACGCATTTCGATCCGGCGAGTACGAATCAGTACACAGCCTAGAAACAACACGCGCTCATAAATAATATCGCGCTTCCGTAAAACGATATATTTTTTGGCTTTCCGAGCGCGTCCGCGATGCGCCTCGGCTTTATGATTCGAAAGTATGTCACGACCACGAATACGATTCGATTTTTCATTTGCGCCCGAAAGTATTTATCGTCGAAAAAAGTTCAACTTTGGCGCGTATCGAGAACAACTGCTGGACTCTCAAACGAACGTATCGATCTTGCATAGACGCGTCTTTCCGATCAGCAAAATAATGATTTTCCAACAGTAAACCACACGCAGAACAGCGAGAAATATTCTTGGAATTATCGAAACGCGTTCAAAATTGAATTATTCTTGGTATTTGGATAGTATCGAGCAAGCATGCTGCACGATATACCGGATATTAATTTTCAGACTGAAATGCATACCGCTAGCCGAATAATCCACGCTTAACTCACCGTGAATGGTGAGTAACTCGGAACCCGATTCAAGATCGTATCCTTACAATTATTTGGGATTCAACGTCGAATATCAGCTATGTGCTTGTTACTCGGAATGAAATTTATTAGAACTATACGCAGACTGTTAAATTTTATCGAACGACCGACCCTTTAGAGTTTAGATCGTAAATTATCGGTGTTACAACACACGGAAAATGAGAACAAATATTCTACGTATCCAGTACGACCCACGTAACGAGACTCGCTAAATTTCCTCGAACTATCGGCGACGAATGTAACTAATTTCAACTATAATACGGGTAATCATTTTTCGAGTCATAATTCATCGTTTTATCGAACATCGAGAGGGCTAATAACTACTAAGACCGCATTAAATACACACGGTAGATTACGTCTGCGGCAGACAGGGCTGTCGACAGAAATAAACCAACCAACTAAAATTTCCACTCAGAACTAAGCTCTTATCCTCTTCAAATCTTCCGTCCGAGCTTATCCTTCACGACCGTTCCTGCCGGTAAAGCCGAGGCTAACTTCAAATCACCTATCGAGGGCCTCGAGTACACCGAGCTTTTCCCTACGTGTAGCCATTCTTTTTCCGAACTACAAAAAATCGTCGCTAACGGCGAACGTCGAACAAATAATAACGTAATTAATCTTTTTCTATCAGCAATCATCGTGAACTCATAACTCGCGAGAACCATGCACCTTGCACAATTGCAACTTCCTCTTCTTATACCAGGAGCAACTGGTTCGATGGTAGAACCTGCTACTAACCTATATTTTATTAGAAATAACACAGTATCGGAAGATTATAGGTATTTCTTATTAAGATGCATTAAGGCTGCAGAGGATTTAGATACCTGCTCTTGCGGTATAAGAAACATAAGAGCAGGATGACACGAATCGCAAAGTGGAAAGATGTCAGGGGCAGGCAGGATATTTATAGAACTGTTGGAGTCATGTATACGACCAAAAAAGTTAAAAGCCATATTGCATCGAGAGAAGTTAAGAAAATTGAAAGTCTCGTAGATAATGTAAAAGAGATGGACGCGGAGTTTGAGCCAACAGGGGACAGACACGACGCGTGAAATATAGTCGACGAGGTCAATAAAGTTGAAACGCACTTCCGTAAGAAGCCGTTCAACGGTGTTGACGGTTGATTCAATTAAATCTGCAAAACGAGAGTTTCTCACGGCTATTGAAACACTACCTCCGCCAAGGAAATTGCTGGTAGCACTGTTTCTATCGAATCGATAAATACAGTATAGTCGCAGAAATCTAACTCGACTTTATAAATACCATCGCGCTGCCTCGTAATACTTTGCAACGTACTATCTAATTAATTTTTGCGTCGAGCGCACGGCGGTTCGAAGTTGGACGATTTTTGGGGTGGTCAATAATTATTTGTCCCGTAAGTTACAAGCGTATTCGCGGTGTTTCGGTGGTTCTCCATGGAACAGCAATCACCATTACCGAGTACACGGGGTACGTCGCGAGGAATAGGGACGAAAGCAAGCTAACTGGAAGGGAACCGACAGGTCAGAAGAAGAAGAAGAAACGGAAGCGGAGAATAGACGAACGAAGTGCAAGACACGGTAAGAAGAAGAAAAAGTACCAAGGTTGAATGCACACTGGCGGCAGAGGAGGAAGAAGATAGAAGTATCCAAGGAAAAAGGAGGAAAAGGAAAGGGGGTGTGTGTAGATGGGAAAGGGTGGAAGGGCGATGTATAAGCAAGGTAGGGAGACGTTGCACAGGTGATAGCGCACGCGCGCACCGTCACACACGGAAAGAAGGTACACACGGACGAGGATCGTATAGGTTAGAGGAGCGGAGTCGGAGAGGCTGCACGGGGCGGCTGCGTGCTCGAAGCCTGAGCGGCGCTCGCGCAATGTAGTCCCTCGGCTATCCTTGACGCGGGAGCATCGTCGTTTCGAAAGAGCCGCGACCTTCTCCCGTCGCGCGCGTTCCGTGGAAACGTCCGAGGACCCGCACGCTCTTCCGCATCGGCCAATTACACCGCTTCTGACCCCGAAATTCCGTATCCGCGGACCGCGTGGCCGATCGCCTAACCAGCAAATCCGCTCGCTGCGTTCCCATCGAATCGGACCTACGTGGACATCCGATCTCGTCGGATCGAGCGGTGCACGTATCGCCGCGACGCGCCGATTTTACGGAGATATGTGGTGCAGTGACGTAACCGGTGAATTGTGATCCCGTTTACAGAACGATCGATGGGACATGGATGGAACCGTGACGCGGACACGGTGGTTTACGCTAGTACCGCTTAGTTTACAGTGCAATCGACTACCGTGAACCGTACCGATATCGAAATTTATTCAGCTCGACAGCTCCAGGAGACACCAAGACACCGTCGAAGCGATCACGTTTGGAGTCCAAGTCGGCCAGGCGGTCCTGGCCCGCGCTCCGGAGCGGAACTTCCCATAAAAGGCTCGTAACGCTGCCGACTGTGGTTCGCAAACGAGACTGCCTGACGTACGGTTATCGCTGGAATTTGGCACGGGCTTCCTTTCGTCGGGAATCGCTGCGAACGGAACGCCTCGACGCCGAACAGCCACGGATCCGGACACCGACGGCACCGCGAAACGTCCCTGAAAAAGGACCGTTTCGTCGACGTTGATCGAACGCTTCCCGTAACTTTGCTATTCCTGCGACACGCTCCAACCTTTGGATCGAGAAAGTTCACCTCGATCACTCTCGGGTCCTGCGGGACGTCGAAGCAACGCATTCCGTTTGCACAAAGGCGTGCTCGATCGAAGGGACAATCGATTCCCAGCGACGCGACCAGACAACGAACGATGCATTGCTCGACGATTAGAGAGCGTGAATAGTCCTCGCGGTCGAGGAGAGGCGACTCCCGGAACAATGCAGCGGAGCACAACGACGCACAGCGAGAAAATGCGAGAAAGAATGATCGATGGAACGTCTCGCGCGTTGAGAAAATTACTTTAACGAGTCCCGCCTAATGCATCGCGAACGACTTTGCGGTCGTCAGTGCGGCGAGAGGCGTAAAAGCGTCCACGACCACCCTTTCTTCTCCTCTTACTCTTTCTCACGGTCTCTCTCTCTCGCTATCCGATCTCAAACCAGTCGAAACTAACGGCGTACGAGCGCCAAAGAAACACTGCCGTCCGTTAATTGCATTCGTTAGCACTCGTGTTCCCGAAAGTAGGACAGAAAGGAGAAAAAGTGCAACAAAGTTTTGTTTTTTTTTTTAACGTGACCAAGTGATACCGGCGAACGAACGAAACGAAACAGTGTAATCGTGAGATTTGTGTTTCGCGGCGCGAGTGAAAAATCGAGAAACTTTGGAGGTTCGTGGGAGAAATAGGGCCGCGTGAAATGCCAGGTCGTCCGTGAAACTGGAAACCGTAGGAGGCTGTTCGACGCAAAGACTAGACGAAACTACGTGCGATGCGTGCGAGATAGTATATGTCAATATGTGAAAGAACCACGCCGAGGAAAAAGCGATGTCTACTTCTCTTCCCGTGCTTGTCTGTTTTATCGTTTCTTTTGGTAAGTCGAAAGTTTGACAGCCGCCTCGTTATCGCACGATCCGGCGTTTCTCTCCTCGTTGCCAGTAGTTTCTGCAAAGTTCGACGGAAGACGGCAAACTCCACGCGCGCAGGTCAATTGGGAAAATTTGTCGTTACGACGAAATTGGCCATCGGAGAATCGATCGTCGATCCCCGTCGCGAAATATAGAATTTCCCCCGTAATTAAGAACCAGGACGAATTATAACTGTTTTGTTCGTTACGCGGTCGGTGATCGTTCGACGAACCCGAACGGGATAAGTAATTCTTCTCGGGACTAAGATTCTTTTCGTTTGAATTGCAAATCGATCATTTAGCTCTCCGCTGTTACGGTACTTGTATTATTCATGACATTCCTCTCAATTCCAGCAACACTTTGGCACAACGTTTCACCCCACGCGAGTCGATATATACAGCAGGGTGGAGCTGGTATATCTTTCAGTTTGATTGAATTTGATGAACTCCACCCTGGAGATAGGGAGACTAGAGGGAATCTTCGAACTTGTGCTGCGGCTACACCCAGTCCCGAGGCCAACAACCTTGTATTCTGCCCGCAACCTAATTCGCCAAAAATCATTTCTATCGATGCTTTCCCAGACTTCCCATACGAGTCGTCGATTCTCCTCGAAACGTAATACCGCGTAATCGAATTATCGAACGGCGAAGTAATCGTGGTTCGATTTAACGTGCAGTTTCGAGAGAACGCAACGTTCGATACAATCTATTCTGTTCGATATCAGATAATAAAATTACACGTAGATATACACATCGACGCGTTTTACTTTGTACAATTTGTTGATATTTTTAGACAATTGTTTATTATTTCTACATATTTGTTGATGTTAAAATTATTTATTTCCATTGACGCCAACCAGCCAGAACTTATTATTATACATATATCTGGTCACAAGTAACGCCAAAGATCGCCGATCGCCAAGCGCAAGTAGAAATAACCAGTAATGGTCAGACGCGTCAGTCGAGTCACACTCGACCGCGCGCATAATTGTGAAATGTTTGAACATAATGAAATTATGCATCCAATCGAAGTTCAAAGTAATTTTTAAACATTTTCATTTCATTGTTTTGTTTAATTATTTCACACCCAACGCAAATACCGTGAAACTAGAATATGAACGGGGTTGGTACATTTCATATTCGCAAGGTGAAAAATAACAGATCCAAAGTCGTGACGTGGTTTTATATTTTCTCCAATCGAGTGGTGAAAGGAATAACGCGAGATCCCCTCGACACGTTTTCCCATAAACACTTTGAACAGCCGGGATATTCTTTTCAATAACGCTTCCATTTGTCACAATACACTTTTGTGTGATTCTTCAGCTCGTTCTACGAAGGACGGTTTGTGTATTCCGTGTCACGGAAAGGTACAAGGATGACACTGGCACGATTTAACGCACAAATAATTTCCCGCCCGTCTTTAGCCGCGTTTCCTTTTCTTCGCTCACCTGAAGTCGAGATTCTCTCCGGATGGCTGGTCACGTGAAAAGTTACAATGATTTTTCTTCCGAGGAGAAATAAGCGCGATCCAACTTCGTCGCGAATCCGAGAAACTCGCTATGATTGTTGCAACTGCATTATCGGAAGCGCGAATTTACTCGACTGTTGTGCGTTTTCATCGAATCGCACGACTTTGCATTTTACTCTTATTTTGTCCCTTTTAGCGAGTCTTTACGCCGCGTCCACCTAGAATAAACTGGGTCCTGTTTTTGTTCGTGTTTACCGGGAAAATCTCGTCGATCCATTATCGATATAATTTTAGTCAAAAATTAAATAAAAATTTGTTATCGTTCTTGCGTCGCGAGAGAGGATGTTGTTGCTCGTAATAAATGCGGCAAAAGTGCTTCGCTTCGCTCGTCCGTGAAGCGTAATACTACAGCTGAGCATATTGTAAACGATATTCAAGAGTCGTGAAGAATGGAAGGGAGAAGAATTGCTTACACTATTTACACTCCTTATCCGGAACGTATCGTTCCCTGCATTTAATGGCAACGCTTCTTTGTCGTTACCATCGAAAAGAAAACGCTCGCGCTCAACCTTGATTCGCTTTTCCGTGCTCAACGACACGAGATTTCACCGTTCCCACACAATGCCGGTTAACTCGGAATTAACGTTCTTTACTTACACACGACGCTGGTCTGGCGGAGACCTGCACTTGTCAGGCGATCGTTTTTATGACGAAAACAATTTATTCTAGCCGCGAGATTCGCAGATTCTTGCTCACGACGGGGACGAAATTAAGAAAGTAGTTTTCAACCCTTCGATATTCACCGATGAAGGTATATTTAAAAACAAGATAATAGAAGGAACATTATATTGGTCGATAGGGATTACATTTTTCGCATGGCATAATTAGTATAATTAGTATAATTATTATTTATAATTATTATTTATAATTATTATATATAATTATTAAATACATTAATAATGAGTATAATTATTTATAAACAAGATAATAGAAGGAACATTATATTGGTAGATGGGGATTAAATATTTCGCATGGCATAATTAGACCATATGTTATCGATAGATATTCTATATTTGTCTCTGAAACCTTATCACTTATATTAGAAAGCGTATCGTATAAAAAGTGGCTCAACAATATGACACAAACGTGACAGCTGCCCTGCACAATAAACATGTCAATGCACTGGCGTGTTAAATTGGATTGAAAAAATGCACAGTCTCTTCCGTCGTACAAGATACATGGTTGTGAAATGTCAATGATAATTTTAAATGCTAGAGAGGAGAGCTTATCTATCACGATGAGGTTGGAAATTTTTGGCTTGACATTTAGAATAGAAATAGGTCTTCGCTTATTTTAGCATACTATTTGTTTCTGGATTTAAAAACGAGGATCCTGCTATTTTTTCATCGCGAAGAACCGTGCCCGGTATTCAAGGGGCCTTTCTACCTTGTGGGATTTAAAAAATCGAATTTTTTTTTCTACGTTTTCTTTTAGTATGTAGTCTCGAAAATATATCTACGAAACATTAAATTGAAATTTGAAAAACTAACGAAATTGGAGCCTGCTGAAATGTACCCCGATAATGAAAAAACTATTCAAGATATCAACAGGAAATTTATACAGTATCTTTAGAACTAGTCTCGCTATAGCATGAACTAGGATAATTGCGATATATGCAATACTTTTTCTTTTATTGATAAAAAAACGACCGAATATATGAAAATATTCAGTATTTTTTCGTAAAATAGCTGCCATTTTGCCATTTTTTGTTTTTTTGAAAAGATCCTAGTTTATGCTATAACCACACTCATCTACATTAAGAATATCGTTGGTTTTTGGATTTCGGATAACTTGTTCGGAAGATATCACATACGCAGTCGGGCGCCGTTCGTAAAAACTGTTGTTTGTCGATCAACAAAAACAGCGTAATCAATAGATATTATGCGTTGCAAAAATTCGTAAATATAGCTAGATATATAATAAATGTATCTACAAAACACGGAATTAATCGCTCTTTAATAGCCCGCAAAAAAAATCACAAAGAAACATGTATTTTTTGTGCCTACAAGGTAGAATGGCCCCTTAAGGATTTGTTGAAACCAGAATACTCGATTTATAACGAATTCCTATCTTTGTAAAACGGATGCAGTCGTTATTATATAATTCAATGAAATTTATTTCCTGTGGAGTTGGAAATAGAAACGGTACCCAGTCCGCGAATTGTGAAAAGTTAACCGATGAAGGTTGAGTGTTGGACAGGAAGAAATTCGAGTCCAGAAAAAAAGAGTGGGGTGGTAGCGATAGCGGTGACACAATTCGCGTCTGACGTGGCGGTGATTCGACGTGCACGAGTCATCTTGTTTAATCCAACTGGATTACGGGGACAGTGAAATCGAGCTCACGAATTCACTTTGATCGTCCATCCATAGAACGAGTCGGAGGCACCGAATTGCCGATACAAGCCAGACTACGGGCCGTTTATACGGCAATCGAGCCCGTTCAACGCGCTGTTCGCGTTTATGACGTTGCGCCGTGTGAAACGACGCACCTAATTCCGCCGTCTAGATGCTGCGTGGGTGTTCACCGACGGATTTCCCTGTCACGGTTCACCACCTGAGCTGCCCGGTTCAAGATTCGCCCGGACAAAGTGCCGCGTTAACGAAAATAATGATCCTCCCCGTCATCCCTGTTCGGTGCAGAAGCTCCTGGATTAAAGTATCCGGCGAGCTCTACGCGATCGATCGAAAATACCGATTTGCCAGGGATCAAGTCTATCTAGGCCGCGATGTTTCCTTCGATTACGCTTGTCCGCTATTAAGGTACACGAGGCATTCGTTTCGAAACGCTATACATACCTAAATTATCTCGAAAACAATTACCCAACCTTTAACCCGTTGCCATACAATGACGAGCCTGACTCGTTTACAAGTTCTTGACGTCAAGTTTTATAATCATGAGGCTACTCGTCATCAAATCGACACATTTTTACGTGCTTGAGGTATTCGTAAAACGAATCTATTCTTTCTCGTGGCCATTTCTTGTACGAACAAATTTATACAAAATTAAATAGTACACGATTGTAAAATTATTGGAAATTGAAGGGGTTAAACAACTCGAAGAAGAACAAACCAATGTAGTATGACAGACGCGGTTACGTAAATCCTTTAAATTCCTAAACCTATTAATTCGACAGTGGATTCGTACTGGATACATTATTGTCGATATTATTCATGCATACGACGATCAATGTTTAATTCGCGTTATTACTAATGTACTGGGGACCGATCGCGCTCGTAATACTGTAACTCGAAGTACACATAGTGGGTGCAGATTGTTTGCTAAACTTCAGAATCGATTTAACGTTAACTGATATTTGTTACGCATTTATTATGCGTTTCGTGCTCGTGTTTCAAAGCATCTCGCGTTCTTCTCTTGCGCAAATAAACTAAACGTAGTCGAAAGAAAATTGGCTTTTATACGGTATTGTAAGAGAAGGAAT